TTCAGAGCAGACTGAAGAGGGAAGGCTTACTTAATCTTGAGTATGCATGAGAGAGCAGATTACACAAACACTGGCTGCTTCTCAGGAAGAGAACAAAACAAGCCTTCTGCAGATGGGACTGCAGGGCAGAGAATCCGAGAAATGCATCAGGGTGAATCAGAGTGGTGTTTAGCAGCATGCGACCGTTCTCATGGCTGCAGATGGCATTCATAAATGCATAATAACATCATGCACAATTTAGCTCTGTGTCTAATTGCGAAAGAATGTTAGGCTCTTGCGAGAAGTTGTTTTTCTAAGAACTCAGCTGCTCAATGCAGTTCTGGTTAGCACCTATGCAAGCAGAAGCTGTGACATCCTTCTTTCAAAGCATAGCTTATCTGGTGAAAAGTTAGACTCATGTTTTTCAATATTAGAAACCTGTACCTCAATAGACTTGCTGACAGTTAAAAAATAACCCTTGGGGGCTGTACTTAATAAAAAATAAATTTGAATCGTTAATAATAAAAGCACACCCAATTCAAGAAACCTGACAGATTGATAGCAGAGTATTTACATTACATTTGTACATTGCTGTTATAACCTACCTGTTGATATAAACAACTAAAATAAATCTCTACAAAATAATCAAATAAATAAAGTAAGTATGTACAGTAGGTGTCACTATTTTAATGTTTTTACTTATTGTCCATTCAAATTCTGAGTGTATGAAGCAGGAATGACAGCACTTTATTGATATTAAATTAAATTACCTTTATTTAACCAGGAGAAAAGAACCATTTTTAGGGTTTGTTGTAAACCCCGATTTTTAAACTTCTGCGATTAATTCAGCACAAATTGCTAAAAACGTAACAAATTTAAATAAAAATAATAAAAATAAACACTTATTCCATACTAAACTGCAGGAAGCTTTTCTTTAGGAATTGTGATTTACACTTTTACACTGCAAAGAAAACTGTAACACTTATGGTGTGAGGCTGTGAAAACAGTGAAATGTTGAAAGACAAACATAAAAAAAAAAGAAAAGAAAACAGCACAGACTGAACGCAAGAAAGTGTCCTGTGTTAATGGACCATACTCTGCCTCTGACAGATTGACAAATTGAATATGATGGGTTTTTATGTTCAATGATATGAAAATAAAACAAACTATTTATTGACTTAAACAAAACATAAAGTCTTAAAGTCCCCCTAAATTCACTAATTTTATCTCATCTTAGAACTCATCTTTGATAATCAAAATGACATGTTGAAACATTTCCCATGAAAATAATTTCTTCCTTAAAATGGCGTGAATATATCTCGAACCCCTTCCTTGGTGTACGCAGAACTATGAATATGCAAATTTCTCCCTGCCTTTACTCAATCCCACAACTCGGACTACCTCCACTTTCACTCAGTTAAGAAGTCTTAATGCTACACAACGGCAAATGGGAATGGTGGATTAATTCAGCTATATACGTTTGAACCAGAAACTGATACCAAAGAAGAGGAAGAGCAAATTATACAGGATCATCCACAAGTCAATGTATCAGAATGGTAATGTATTTTATGTATCGCTCTCTACAAAGTCAGGCGTGTAACGATAACTGATATCATTAGCCTTTGGCTTGCCTACATTATCAAACAGCTAATGATATGAAAAGCCCCACCAAAGTCAATGGTTACACGAGTCAACAGGATTGGTTACACTTTTGTGATGGTAAGAAACAAGGGCTGTTTCAAACTGCATTTTTAAGGAGAAAATGTTCAGCAATTATTTAGAGGCTTACATATGATTAGTCATACATGTGATTCATTTGATTAAAAATTTAATTTGATTGACCTCCCTAGTTATTAGTGATACCATGACACCTCTGGCAAGGTTTTAAAAGTTCATGAGTTATGACTGTGTTGAATTATACAGACAGCTGTTGGCTTAATCCCGAACATATGCTGCATTTCCAGAAATTATTATTTTTTTAAATATCATATCCTCTGGGATGAATACATTAAAACATTCATAACAAAATATGTAGGTCAATCACTTCGGCTCTTGGGAGTTCAACTACCACCGGATCTGAACCACAACCACCTGTTTGGACTCTTCATCTCCCTTTTCATGTTCTTTTCAGCTCTCTATCCTCTGTCTCCTTATCACCGCTCTCCATGCCCTAAACCCCTCTCGTCCTCCATGCTTCTTTATCCTTTCTCCTTCACACCATCAGTTTATACTTCTCAAACACATTCCCGCTCACACTCTCTCCAATCATTCTTTCCTTCCAGTTTCTCTCTCTCATATTAGGCAATATAAACTCTAATAATCTCTTTCACCCCTGATACACCATGATCTCCTTCAGTCTCTCTCTAAAATGCTCATTAGATGACATAAATGCAACCTTTTCACAAACCACTTGACCTTAAAAGAGACCACAGACCACTCTGCAATGTCATTGCTTAAAACGAGATGACTGACATAATCACTGTAGTACCTTAAAATACCAAATGTTAAAGGACAAACTTCTGCATAATTCAGTTTAAAATGTAATTAAAATATGTGGTAAGATCCTCCACAGTAGAGATTAAAACTCATTACTCCAGGTTATAAACACTGCCTAAAGCATGCCTGTCATCCGCCTGTATCTGCTCATTCACTCTCTTTAAACTGTCTCTCAGCCTTTCAGTTAAATACCAGCTCAGATGCAAACACACACAAACATGCTCATTTACATCACAAATAGCTTGGCTATTTCTTATTGTCATTTGCAGAATGAGAGACTCTAACTTTGTTATTCTCATAGAGACAAAAAATGTGGGATAGAAGAGCTGTATGCAATACACAATAGAGCTGTTCAAGAACCATTCAAAATATGCCTACATCTTCACTTAGAAAATGATTTCTAAAACGCTTCCATATAAGGGAAAAATATGCCTGGAGGTTTTTATGGTCACGTTTTGGATCACACGTAATACAACACAGCCATAAGACTGGTGACCTTTAACCCCAGCTGACAGAGGTCAGAATGGCAGTCTAAAGTTGACCTTTACTAATGTTTTAAAATGACTTCAGGGTTAAACCACCAAAATTGCCTATGCCAATTCTGTCGATCTGTTTACTCAACTTTTTATTGAAGAGGATAGAGTATTAGAGCTGCACAACACATACTTGATGAAAAAGTGTTACAGCATTTCATTCAAATTTACTTCTATGCTATCATTTTGTATTTTGTAGCACATTTTCTTTTTTTCTTTTCTGATGCTTTTATAAATTCATTTAAATAAGTCTACAGTATTATCAGTTCTCTTATATTAGTAACAACAACCAGTCCAAAGTGACGTTAAAACAGTCTCATCCACAGATGCGGTTTTTTTTGCACTTCCATTTGCTGTGTTGCTGCGTTGACCAACATAAAGCTGCTTGGTGTATAAAAGTAACTTAAGTTAGCTGTGCTTCATTCATTGCTACACTATTGGCAATGCAATTGACCTTTTATCTGCAAAATTTCACTAATGTGACTTGAACACTGCAAGGTGTACACACAATGTAAATAGGAGATTCACTGTACTATTTACATTATACATTGATTATAATGGCAACCTTTGCAAGAATTCACAACTTGATGGGTCAGTGAGCTCGGCTTTGTATTTCATACTACTAAAAGGGCCAGTGAGGGTTGTCTTGGTTACTGAAATATAAACAGCAATAAAATAATCCAGGGGGACACAGATCTCTGCTTGCTATGACATTCGGTTTCCAAATACAAAATAAGTGCGTTATAATATATAAATTCTATAATTATTCTGCCCTATGGTGCACAGAAAAATAGGTGTGCTTCTTTTAAAATGGCCCTTTTTACAAACCAAACACCTTCTGCCCTTTCAGTTTCTGTATGCTCTGCTTCCTGTTGTGTGTTGAAAGCACTTTACTGCAATGTAAAGAAGCAATTAGACAAATGGCATATACACTCAAGTAATGCGCCTTCTTTTATCTATTTCAAGAAAAGCTTAGTCTATAGATTGAGTGTATTCATTTAAAAGTTCTCAAGCTATCCTCCCATTTCCTGGGCCCATTACAATGCGGCTGTGATCTAGATTCTATGCCAGTCCTCTATGCCCTGACTCTCCTCATTTCCTTCACTTCGACCTGCTTGGAGAGTACTTTGTCTTGTAAAAACTCCAAAAAAGACTGCCGGACTGCTTTGAGGGTTCCTTCGAGCCTCAACAATACTCAGGAAGTCAGGCTGCTCAGTGTTTATGTGTGTCAGCGTGTGTGTCCTTTCTTCTGACCTACATTTGGAAAACCAGACTGGCCAAGACTGCAAGGGAATGCAAGGTTCATATGTGGTTAAAATAAACATTTACTCTGCCAAGCAACATTAATGTGGTCCTGCCGTTTCTGAGGAGGAAAAGGCAATCTATCCCCAAAAGGCTTCCAGTACAGTCAGACTCAGACTGTGACTGGTTCATCTCAGCATTTGGCAGAACAATCAGAAGGTGATGGAGATACATGTTCCCTTTTCTCAGAAGATCTGCAGCTCAAGTCATTATTCAACTAAACTCCAGCACACTTCCTGGACAGTTTTACCAGTGGCAGATAAATTCAGCACCACTCCCAAATCTCCACCTTATTAGCTGGATCTAGATGCAGTTTTTTGCTAATATATTTCAATGGATATGTATTCAACAACTAACTGCACAGCAATTTGAAAAAAAAAATTGCAATAAAAATCTGTCAGCAGTATATTAAGATTTTGAATGTTTCTCTTGCATAGCATGCGCTTATGCTCTATTTTTAATGTTTAAAAAAGGCTTTTTATTTACTCAGAGTAGTCCACTCATGACTGCTGAGAAGGGAATTATGAAATCTTCCAGTTAGTCAGTAAGAAGTGTGAAAGAAACAAAATAAGAATAATTTCAAAGATTGTGTGAAGGTGTTTTGCAAATGTCAGTCCATCAGTGCCTTGTAATCAGATACATTTTTCTTCAATTATGTGTATGAGATAGTAATTTAAAGAGGTTACTTACTGATTTCTTTCAACTTGTAGAACCAATTTCAAGTCCTGGGCTGAGACTAGAATCTCCCCTCTCTCTGGGAACAGGTCCTGATGAAAAAGAAAATTGAAATATAACTCTGTTCAATTTAAAAACCAGAGCTCTCCATGTCATTTCTATCAAAAGAACTGGTGGCATGAGACAATTAGTTGCCAGTAAGTGGATATTATTACTTTTAAAAACATTAAGAAATGACAACACAACCAATTTTACCTCTGTAAGATCAAATGCAAGCCAGGACTTAATATATATCTAATAGTCCAACAAGTTGATGATCAACAGAAAAGTATTTTTATAGATTAAAAAGTTGATAAAAGATCCAGAAGACAATTTGTCTTTGGAATAATGATGAATCCTGCACAACAACTATTCAAAGGTTCAGGGTCAGTAAAATTTAAAGTCTTTTACATTGCTACAAAAGATTCCATGATTAAAAAAAGAGTATTTTTGAATAAATAAATGCAGCCTTAGTAATTTTTTAAGAAAAAAAAAAACCCATCACCAGACCCCAGTAGAGTATATTTAAATAAATATAGTACATTTTGATCTAATGTTGACTTCAAACCCTCTAAGCCTAAGTGTTATTGATAGCGTTTTTTTTTTTAATTCAAAAATACAGAAGACAAATCCTCAGTAAAGAACTCTCTCCAAAAAATTCAACCATGCCACTGAGTCAGCTGCACACTTAAACCCTGTTATTAAGAGGAGAAACAGTGTTGAAGCCAGCGGGCCAGAGCTAGCATCTAGCATGTGTTTGCTCTGCATGCACTGCTTGTGGTTAGCTGTGCTAGCAGATAAAACGGGTAGGAGGCTGAGGACTTTGATCCTCCATGTAAACTCTTTCCAAGAAGTCAGACATCAGTAGACACAAACTCCTCCCTCGAGCCATCAAAAGTCCTGCAATACAAATGGAAAATCTCTTAGTCCAGCGGCAACTAAAGTCAGTAAGATGTTCTACAGACCTTGGGGAGAATGTTGTATAAACAGTACCCTATAGGGACCACACATGAAATGACTGGAGCAGCAGTGAAAAGAATGATTGTAAATGTGAAACAGCTTGTTGCTAGCTCATTCTCAGAAAGTAATTCGAAGGTGGAAGCGTTTGTGAATTATTACTGTCCTGCTTGCTATAGCTCATACTTAAGGTTTGAGGTTTATCCAAACAGTATTAGTGCTACGGACAAATATGATACCTAAAATTGAGCGGCTTGATGGAAAGATATGTGCTTACTTAAGTAATCATACATTTTTCACTTGGCAGATGATAAAACCGGTAACCAAAAAAAATAATAATAATGACTTGAAATTTATCAGGGACAGGAATATTAAAGAGACCAGAACACCTTAGAAATTGCATAACAATGAGCCTGGAGACTAACCACAACACATTAGCAACTTTTGCATAGCCAAGCCTCCACTTATATTTTCTTTAGAAAATATGACAACCACAAATCAACGCTCTTAACAACTGCATAGTAATGCCCAAGCAACAACCCACATCACCCTAACGACTTTTGCAATTCACTATTTATTTTCTTCAGAAATATATAAATTAATATATTTCATATTAATATTAATATTAACTGTTAGTTGACGATAAAAGGCTTATAGTCCACCAAATTTTACCTCACATTCTATTTAACATATTTCTGCTTGTTAGACTTTGGTAAGGCATGTCAAGTTTATCCGTATAGCGCATTTCACATGCGCCAGTAATTAACTTTCACTTTCTTTGGCAGCGCAATTTGAAATATAGTCTTAATGTTTTGCAAAATGCGGAAGATAAAAAAAAAATTTCTGACCTTTTACAACAAGTGTCAGTTGCTTCTGAACATTGGGAGAGGACATCATGCGTTTTAAACCATATCCGTTTAAACTCCTGATATCCACTTTAATCCTAAATGCGGAAGTAAGCCTATGGCGAGACTTCTGGTTCATTAGCTGCTATAGGGAAATAACAAGAAGAATAACAACGTACAGTAAATGGTAAAACTGTTTGCATTACAAATCAGTATGTTCATAATTAAGATAATACAGTAAAATAATATGTTAAGACACACCAATCTGCAGTATCAAGCAGCAAAGGGAGTGGTTTTGTACAGCTAAAAATAGCTGGAAGCAAATGAGACCAGAAGCAAGACCCATACAATTTACAAATGGCTGCACCTATTTTTATGTGAAGAATAAGGTGGATAGGGTTTTCTTAGCGCACACGCACATAAAGCGGCTGTCACATGACTAAACTAAGTTCTCTTTCATGTCTTACTGCGCTTAAATTGTCAAATACAAACAAGTGTATGTTAAACACACACGAGTTGCAAAACGAAAAGCTTACCAAAATAATTTTCTGGGTTGTTCTTTTTCACATTTTCTGGGTTGGTAGATGCACCAAGGACCGGAAAATAGCACTTAAACACGGAAAAAGTCAAATTTTTGTGATATGTCACCTTTAAATTAATATGATCATGCAGTTAGTCGACATATGGCTTAAATGAATGACTAATGGTCGACTAGAAAAATCTTTAGTCGTGGGCAGCCCTAGCACACTGACACCCTGGCAGCCGCCTATATTACTCTCATGATTTTGGATTGGCAAGCACCACTTGTATATTTTTCAGAAAATGTAGCAACCACCTGGCAACCACATAGCAACACCCTGCTGACCACCCACAACACCCTAGTAGGGTTGTGATGGTGAGGAAATTTTCCCACCGGTTAATCGACGTGTGACAACACCGGTAATACCAGTATCACCATGGGGGCGGGGACGTTCCCTCTTTTCCTCGCATTCCTTCGCTTTTAAATAGCTTAAAAGCGCAGTGCGCATTTTACTTTCACTTTCGAATTAGCGGCAGTTAGGCATCAATTGCTTGAATGCAACAACAAAATACAACGTCAAACTCAAAATAACGTATATATAAAACTTAGAACTTTTATTAACAAAACAAATAAAAATACGCCATGCTATAGGGCAGGCTATTCCTAATATAAAATAACAAATAACTTACATAAAGTTTAAATGTACAAAACTGGAAACAAGTAAACATGTATAATATATAACCAAATAAATAAGAAACGTAGAACGTTTATTAGCAAAACGAGTAAGAAAGCTTGGAGGCACGGCATATACACCTTGATGTCAAATAAAATCAATAAATTATACAAAGTTTAAATAAAGTAAAAATCAGCAAACAATGTGGAACCAATTAAATAAGAAACAAATGTTTAAAAAAAAAAAAACCTTCCAAAATCACCTTAGATAAACCTGCATTGAGCAGCCGCGTTCAGTTTTTAATTGTAGTGTCTGTTATTTAGCTGAACTAAATGATTATTATTATTATAAAAAATCAAAACGACGGTGGGGGTCGGTGGGCAAGTGACGTAACCGGTGTTGCGGCTTAACACCGGTATCACCGGTATCACCGTCTATCGCGGCAAGCGTACACCCTAGCAACATTTGTACAAGCAAGTGCCAATCATATTTACCCCCAAAAATGTAAAAACCACATAGCTCCCGCACAGAAACCCTGGCAACCCTGCATAAGACCCTTGCAACTTTTGCATGGGCAATAACCACTCACATTTTCTTCACAACAAGTAAAAATCTAGTTTCTGATGCAACTGTGGGGAAATTATTGGAACATAAAGACATATTTTCTATGTGAAGAAAGGAAATGCATTAGAAACCGCAGGACTACACATATACAGACATCTGTCAGAATGTTCTAGGCTGATGGGGAGTTTAGCTCCACGGAATAAAGCGAGAGGAGACAAGGTGGTTTGAGACAAGTTCACATCTCACAAATCAAATGGGGGAAAGGTTGAGAAGGAAGAAATGAGGAGTTGCGGAGGGGGTCACTTTTCCTGAACATGCAATCACTTACCAACCCCAAGAGTTTCATGCCGCTGTCAAAGAGACAGGTGAAGGGACGAGTGAAGATGTCAGGGGACAACGGGAGAAATGGATGTTAGAAAAGGGGAGATAGAAAGATGAAAGATGAAGACTCAAAGACAGATTGCTTGAAGTGAATGTAAAGAAGTGTATGATACATGTTGTCCTAATATATTGTGTGAAGTCTCATAAGTAATGCCGCTGGAATTCAGATCCCGAGACTTAGCAGTCAAAACATATCGGCACACCCTAAATCTATTATCATTTAACATTTCATTCTTGTCAAACACTTGATTTGTGTTGGTTTCATTTGCACTCGGTCACAGGTACAGCCAATTTAGTTTAGGTCACTCTGGACAAAAAGAAAAAACTCCTGAATAGTAGGTAGAAATAAAATTATATTATTTCCCTAGACACCTTCCTCTAATGACAATATCTTTTTTTTTTTTTTAAGTTTAGATTAAGCAAACCCTTTCGGACACCTCTCCAGACTCTTCATCACCTCAGTTTAAATATTTATATGAGGGGAATCAGTCGTTCCTCTGTTGACATGATTACATCTGAATGATAAATGAAAGAGCAACACAAAGCCAGGGAGGTGGGCACTCAGGCGCGTGGTATCTGCAATCCCAGAGCTCATGCTGGGCCGCAAGCTTGTAGTCTTGTGAAAGACTGCACCATACTGGGACTTTGCATTTGTGCCAAAGCATGCATTTCAGCTGAACATTTGCATGCACAATAGAATGTATTGAAGAAAAAAAATTATAGGAATAGCTGCTCATCTTCATGCTTCCAAACCTGTAAGACCTGTTTTTTTTTTGTTTTTTTTTGTGGAATAGAAAATGAGAAATTTTGCAGAATCTCAAATCTTCAGAAGATTTATAATAACTCTGTGAAATATTTTTTTTGTTTTTAATGTTTTTCTCCTCTGTCATCGCTTCTGAAGACTGAAACCAATAACATTTGGCATCACTGCCAAAAAATGTGGCATAACATGTCATGTTTGAAAATACTGTACATAAATCTGAATGAAATTTGAGTGCTGCAACAGAGAAAAAGATTTTCAGGAATTTCAGCTTGTTTGCCACCCTGTGATATCATATGATTTCAGAAGACTTTGAATATAGTTCATACTGATCACTTTTATTATACTTTTAT